GCGGGACAGACGAAATAAAAGAAAATAAGAGAAATAAGAAAAAAAGAAAAGAGAAAGAAAGAAAAAAAGCGCCGGACACGGAGCGTTTAGAGAGGCTAGACCAGCTGCCGTCTATTCGCACGCCACATGGTGTGCTATATCGGCGGCGCGCGCTCCGCTCCGATATAATTAGACGATTGGATAATAAGCTGGAACCGACCAGACGACGACCACTCGGCTTTTGCACTCCTTTCGGCGAGCCATACCTTCGCCCGTGTATGCGCGACTCCGCCAAGGACGCCGCTGTTGCCGGCGCTCTCCACGGCCGAACGTGACGTCTTGATTTCTCGGCGAGTCGACCGAGCCACGCCGTCATTGTGCTCGCTCTCGATCGCGAACGCGTGAGTAAGCGCGCGACGAGTGCCCATTCAGAAGGATTGCCGAGGGCATTGTTCGACACGACAAAACGAGATGCAACAATCTCAATCCGAAAAGTCAATTGTCGACGGGCGCACGCGAGCGTAATCTAATCTCTCGCGGTCCCCGCGCGCCGCGTCACGCCCGAGAACAATGAGGACACAAGGAGCTGCGGCCAGCCTCTAATTACGTCGGGACAAAGGCCCGGGCCGCGACTTTTCAGCGTTTTCGAGAAAGGCGGCTGCGCCTATCGCGCGCAAGAGCACGCCCCATTATCGATGTTTTCTTTCTCGGCAGTTTGGGGAAAAACAAACGGCGGCTTGTTCTCTCCGATTAGCCAGCGCAATGAATGCCCTCGCCGGTTAATCGCCGGTTGCGCGACTCGACCTCGTGACATTGATGCTTATTGATTTCTAATTGACGGCCGGTCGCTGGCTAACGGTCGTACGAGTACAATTTTTTTTTCTGCTCGTTTGCTCGCTCCGCGGCGCAGCGTTAAAAAATGTATTTATATTCTCCGCACAATCGTATCGCGCGACATCTTCGGCAAGAGCAGACTGCAGTCGAAAATGGACTTAGTCGAGCAGCAGAGCGAGAGAGAGAAAAAAATTAGGACCAACGAATTTTCGCCAAGACACAGCTGTCGACTTGCGCATGTACATATCCAAGTCGTCATCTCGATTCTCTTTGAGCTTTCAATTATTTCCGTCGGTATATCGATTTAAATGACGTCGTTTCTTTCTTTCTCTTTTTTATTTGCCACGACTTCAACGGTCAACGCATCAACGAGATTTTTCGAGCGACTGTTTGGACTGATTCGTCATTTTTTTTCCGGAGAGATGCAAAAAACGCGACACAACGGACGGTTTTTCATCCGATCAAAGATACCGCTCTTTGCCTGTACATCGAGTACGGTTTTTTAGTGGATTACCTGAAAGAGAAAATGAAATTTCATTAAAAAAAAACTAGACTGCCAGCGTTACTCGACGTACGTTTAATTTCTCGTCGATGCGTATTTTAAGACTGCACGTCAACTGCAAAATCTCGACGAAATCTTGATGAAGCCTCTGATTACGTATTATCACCGCTAACAGGAAATATTTATTTATAAAAAAATGCTAAAAATAAGAGAACCACTTCCCTCGGATCTTTCGACCGAAGCATCGAATCTATGTAGTCTAATCTAAACACATCTCGCTTCTGCTTTTTTCCTTTGGAAATATATAAATGTCCTCGTGACGACTATTTCAGGACTCGTCGTAGCGGCTTAAAGACGCACGCAGCGGCAAAAAAAAAGAAGAAACGTAGGTATATACAAAGGTTAGCCGCGGCTTTTCCTCCGATATATTTACGTCGTCGCCTTTGTGTCAGCGGGAAATGTTCCTCCATTTCTTCCTTTTTTTCTTCTTCCTTCGTATTCTCGACTCGAGTGGCTTTCGCGTTATCGTAATTTTCCCCGTTTAATACGGTTTTATTGCCAAGCCCAGAGTTACACAAAGTGGAAGGATTTACTCTTTTTTTTTCTCTTCTCTAAGGTCGTGTGGATTAGGCCAGAGCAGCAGATCTGGATCATTCAAATTGATGGTCCATTTTATATTGTGCCAGGTAGCTGTATTATTTCTCGTTTTTGTGGACTAACGTTAATTTTTTTCTTTTTTATTCGGCCGTACGATGAGAGAAAGCCAGCTTGAAAAATATCAGGTAAACATTTTTCAAAGAATGGCAAATGCAGTCTCCACGGCCACTGTTTATGGGATTATAATTCTTGGATGAGAAGATCAGCGAGGAAACGATCGAGCTCTTGTTTGCGGAAGCGACTAATTAGTCAAATCCACTATTCACGCTGACACTAACAATACTTAAACAAAATTAGTCGTGTCTCCGGACTCGTCCCCAGACTCAAAAGAAGCGTTGACAGGAAAATGACTTGTAAGCCTGCTTTGTACCTGAGCCATAAACGCGCAACTGCTTCTTCAAAAGGAGGAGAAAGGTTTTATTAGGCACCGATGCGCTCCAGTTATACAATATTGCGGGCGCGCGCAATTTTTGCAAACTGCAACGAGCGGTCGTTTACAACCTTACCCGGGTCGACATTGCGCAACAGCGCCCAGAATAATTTACTGCCCGATGACCCGTTCGCCGACTTTTCCCTTGAGTTCCGTCGACGGCCGCGCGCGCGCTTATCTCATCCCTCTCGGGGCGGCAAATATCGTTTCGCGGCTTTCGCGCACGGAGCAACTGGTCCTCGCTTCGCCGGAGAATCGTCGCGGGGCACTCACACGCGTCTCGCGCGGCTTTCCATCCTTCACCTCGCACGCGAGCTTAACACAAACGCCAGACGAGTATCTGTGCTTTCCCTCGCCGCTGCTCTGCTTGTGTTGTTCTGCTCGAAGAACCTTCCTGTCGCGATCAGAGGAAAACGCGCGCTCGCAGCAGGGGCATCCTATTGCGCCAAGGGGAATCTTTTCCGAGTGTAACAGAAAAACTCTGCCGATACATTGGCATTTGCCTCAAGCTCATTTTTTGCTATTATAATTAATTTTTGGTTTTCTTTGTGCCTTCATTTTAATAACAAACGTTTTGGTAACGATATAAAAAAGAGGAAACTTTATTCTGCATAAAAACTTGAAATGTTCGGGATAGCGTTTATTAAGAATTTGCGCAAATTACATGCATAATTTTTTTTGAAAATGTGATTATTTTTCAAATGGGTTAGGTTTTTAGTAAATATCTATTGGTCGAACGTATCTAAAGAGATGATCTTTTCTACAAATAAAAAAGAAAACGAATGATCACAGGTTTCCAACTCATTAGAGATTCGACAATGTTCCACAACATCTTGAAATTTCAAACTCTTACGCGGGAAAAATCTTGGTACATGAGTTAACTAAAGGCATCAGTAGAATTGCGGACAGGCACTTTTACGAGAGTCTCCACTCTCAAAAAGTCTTGTTTTGACCCAGGTAGTCCCTCTACCTGTACCTTCAGTTTACGACTACCCTTGAAGGTCTGGAGTGCTTCCCTCGTTATTACCTACAGCAGAATCAACCATACTTGACTCCAGTTAACTTCCGGATTGTTTTTTAGCCAGCGTTCAAATGCGACTGGACGGCGGCGACTGGTACTTTTTTTTTTTTTTTTTTTAAAGCCACGAGTTTTTTAGTTTCTCCGTCATATCGCAGCAGCGAATTCCATCTGGGTTGAATCGCAGACGCAACATGCATTAGGCGTACAAAGGCAAAGTGCAATAAACCCAAAGGCACAAAGCTGTCATTGCGCAAGAGAAACCCCCGTAGAGTTATGACCGCTTTCCCCGCCCATTCGTCCCCATGATTATTCAACGATTACTCTGAGCTTCTGTCGTAAAAAGGTGGCGTGGTGACGTTGCATTGCGTCGTCTCTCCTTTCGCTACGCTCTTCCCTCGGCATCGACAGGCCGGCTCCTGTCAAGAGTTACGTTCGTGGGCGTTTCGTTTCGACGACGAGTGAACGGCTTACCGGAGTGCGTAAATTTCTTCCGGACGAATTTTCGCAAGGTGCCAGGACAGTGCGCCTAGACGGGACTGCGCCGGCACTAACCCATTGTCCAAGCTCCGGCTTAGAATCATATTTAGCCGGGAGATTTGCGGTATCCGCTGGAATTCTTGCGGTCGCCACTGGTTTTGATACCAATCGCTGCGGAATTAGGCGCCTTCTCGCTCTTCATTCGTGCGCACCTCGCCTCTCGGCGTGTTCCACGCTCGTCGAGTGTGACTCCTTTATTTGATCAAATGCTACGATATTAGTCACAACCTATCGTTGGCCTTTGCTTACTGGTCTCGTTTACTCTGCTGATTGAATTTGTCCTGGCGTTCTTCTCGATTGAACTGCTTTAAAGTTAGACAATGCCACGACGAAATTTTCAATCGAAATTAATTTTCCGACGATCCCTTCGAACGCATCATCACTCTCCTCCTCTTGGACGCAAGCAACAAACATCGCTTTTCGACGATAAATTGTTTGCCACCGCCGAGAGCTCGCATTCTAACAGGGGATGCCAAGAAGCGATATACACGCCACCCCCGCAAGAGGGACATCTCCGGCGCGACAGGTAGCCGCACGCGAGACGGTTTCGCCGCGATAAGAAAAGAAACGAAAGTAAAGAATAATCGCGCGCGTCTAAGCCCCGCGGTGCGGACATCGATCGTGCGGGCGCGATGCACCGCTCGTCGACGGGAGAAAATCGTCAACGCGCGCTCGCGACGTCGCCCCTCGGGGTGGCACGCGTGCGTCGGGCCCGCGAGGCAGGCGACGCGTCCTCGCGGCAGCGGCGGCGGCGGCAGCAGCAGCACCGTCCACCCACCCCGCACGCGCGAGCAGCCGAGCGCTCGCGGGCTCCCCCCTCCCCCCGCCGGCGCACTCGGCTCGGCCACTCTCGCTTTCGCGTGTGCGCCCCACCAGCGCGCCGAGAGCGAAAGGGGGTTGCGCCCTCGGGTTTCGGGGAGCCGCTCGTTCGGCGCACAGCGCCGCACACGGTGGTGGTGGTGGTGGTGGCGGCGGCGGCTGTCGCGGTGGTGGGGGCACCGCGGGCAGGCGCGCGCTGGCTATGAGTCGCGGCGCCGAGCCGTCGACCATTCAGTGCTTGCTAGATCAGCGCAGCCCGAGGATCGCCGTTCAACTCTCGTCGTCGCCAGCTCGCTCGCTCGCTCGCTCGTCGACGGACTACCAGCTCTCTTTCGTTGCGCAGAGTTCCACTACGCCACCGCTTCGCTTGGTTATTTATTTTTCGCCGACGTCCGTCAGCCGACGAGCTGCTGTGTGCCGCGAGCGACGTCCAGTGCTTTTTTTTGTTTCTCCCCTCGCCCCCGTTTCGTTCGGCCCCGGACTCGCCGCTGGTTGTCGCCGCGCCCGTGATATGGATGGAGTGTCTCAGTGACAAACTCGGGGAGCAGGACCAATCCCAGAGGATGGCATTGTCGTACGAGGCGCAGATCACCGCAGGTAAGCCTCGCTCGCAGCGCGCTCGGCAGCCTCGCCGGAGCTTTGCATTCGAGTCCCGATAAGACGCTCGGCGTGCCGGATAAACACGCGCGAAGCGGCTCGCTTATCAAAACAAACATCGAAGGAGCGCGAGGCAGCGGCCAGCGTGCCGCGCGTTAACGTAGCCCGATCGCGCGCGGCCGAGTGGACCGCGGGCTCGCCGTCGCTCGCGGCCGCCGTCCCGACTGCCCGCCGGCTCCCCGTGTCGTTTTCCGGCCGCCCGGCGCTCTGTCGACCACGCTGCTCCTTACCCGCGAGAGCCTCGTCTGCGCTCGCGGCGCAAAGTACGGCCCGCTGCCGCTGTTTTTGTTTCGGGGCGCGAGGCGCGCCGGAGACATTGCTCGGCCGCGCTCTCGATCGCGCCGACCACGGTCCCTCGCTCGGCGCCGCTGCGCAGCGACGCGTTGCGATCGACCAAACGACCCTCTCCGCTCTTTCTGCGTTGCAAAAAAAAAATCGATAATCGCATCCCCGGCGGACGAGAGATCGCTCGGTCGTTCTCTTCTCTTTCTCTGCCGTTTTTTCCCGAAAACGCGGAAGAGAGGGAGAGAGAATGCGCCAACGTCCCCCTCGCGCACTCGTCGCGTTTTTTTCTCGTTCTCTAATTAAAGTCGAGCCGTGCTCTCGTTCCATCAGCGAGCAACGTCGCCAGCGGCCATGTACGGGCCTCGTCTCGTCCGCGGAGCGACCCGAGAGAATCGGAGGTTTGCTCAGAGCGGAAGCTCGCGGGCGAGAGTGGAAAGTACGCCGGCGACGGGCGCGCGGCCGACTGACCAAAACAAGTAAAGCGTGAAAGGCCGCCGAAAGCGGCAAATCGGGAAGGCGACGGCCTCGAAAGCGCTGGGCGCGTGGGTGGGCGATACGTGAATGGAGCGCGCACACGCGCTCTCGACAGCGGAGAGGAGACGGCGGAGGGGCAGGCAGGCAGGCAGGCAGGCAGGCAGGCAGGCAGGAGGAGGACTCGAGCGCGCGCGTCGCCGTCGAGAAGGAAAGTCGGTCCGCGCCGGCTGGCCGAGCCAAGCTCTGACCGCGCACGTGCGCTCCGCTGCTCCACAGGACTGTTAGCCATGAAGCAGGAAGCCGCGGAGAAGCACCGCCAGCAGTCGTCGCCGCCGCCGCCGCTCAACAACAACAACAACAACAACAGCGTGAGCGCCAACAACAACGGCGGCCAGGCGGCCTCGAGCATGTTCTCCAACCAGGCGCTGGCCGCGGCCGCTGCCGCGGCCTCGCTCACCTCGATGCTGACGCCCCAGCAGATCATCGCGGCCCAGTGCCAGGCGCTGCTCGCCGCGGGCACCTTCCCCGTTAGTCTCGGCAGCCCCTCGCTTTACGGGCACCAACTGTTCGGTGGCTGGGCGCCGCCCTCGGCCTCCTCGCCGCCGCTGCAGCAGGCGGCCGGGCCGCTGTCGCCCGGGCTGCAGGCTGCCGCCTGCAACAACAACAACGTGGCGGCCGCCGGCAAGAAGCCGGCCGCCGGCGGCCCGCCGAAGAAGAAGCATCAGCAGCAACAGCAGCAGCAGTCCGCCAAGGCCGGCCCCTCGAGAGAAGCCGCGGGCCCCGAGGCGAGCAGCGAGGCAGCGGCGCCCAGCCCGGCCAGCTCCGGCAGCCCCGAGTCGCATCGCGACCCCAGGGACAAGGTGTTCACCTGCGCCATCTGCGCCAGGTCCTTCGGCTACAAGCACGTGCTGCAGAACCACGAGAGGACCCACACCGGCGAGAAGCCCTTCAAGTGCCCCGAGTGCCACAAGAGGTGAGTGGTCGCAGCCGCCGCGGGCCCAGCGCCGACTGACGCGAGCGTCGCATCGTTGCAGGTTCACCCGGGACCACCACCTGAAGACGCACATGCGCCTGCACACCGGCGAGAAGCCCTACCACTGCAGCCACTGCGACCGCCAGTTCGTGCAGGTGGCCAACTTGCGCCGGCATCTGCGCGTGCACACCGGCGAGCGGCCCTACCAGTGCCAAGTGTGCACGGCCAAGTTCAGCGACAGCAACCAGCTCAAGGCTCACGTGCTCATCCACAAGGACGAGAAGCCGTTCAAATGCGAGCACTGCCTGTCGCGCTTCCGCCGCAGGCACCACCTCAACCACCACAAGTGCACCGCGCTGCCGGCGAGCCTCGTCAGCACCGAGCTCGCGGAGGCGCGGCGGCCGCGCGAGCCGCCCGCGCCCGCGTGCAGCGCCGCGGCGATGCCACTCAACCTGGCCAGCCTGCCCGAGCAGACCGAGCCCGAGGACCTGTCCATGGCCGGCGCCAGGCACTACACCGCCCGGCCGCACTCGCACAGCAGCGGCGGCGGCTCACCCATGAGCCACTCGCCCAACAGCGACGTCAACGACGAGGAGGAGGAGGAGGTCGACCTGTCCCGCGAGAGCCCCAGCAGCCTCTTTGCCCTCGACGCCCACCGCCCTAGGTGAAGCTCGCTTTGGCACAGCCAGCGCCCGGCTGCCGCCGCCGTTTGCCCCGTCGGACGCTATCCGCTCTCTCTACAATGCGCCTCGTTGGTGTAGATAGACCCGCTCTCTTGCTTTCCTCGTTCGCCGCTCGGAAGTGCCAAGTCGATTAGCGATTCGATATTGTGATGTCCCGCCGTCCTCGAGGGGCCAGCCTCTTTCACCTCGACGTACGATTCTCGACTAGGGCCCGCCATCCGAAGGGAATGTTAATTTTATTTTTCCAATTATCATTGCTTCGCTTGGCAAGGGTCGCCCCGAGTGTGCAGCTCGACAATCGCCACGTCGGCGCGAAACGGCGCGCCCGCGCGGACCAGGGATGGAGGAAAGAGAAGAAAACGTTTTATTTGCACGAATGAACACGTCTTGTTTTAGCGATCGACGGGGTTTAGCGCTCTATTTGTACATAAGAAAGAGGAGGACGCGTATTGCGCAGAGCAGAGTAGATTTCATGTTCTTTTTTTCAATAAGCGTTCAAGCGTGAAGAGAATAAATGATATTATATAAATATATATGAATTATACATAGATACTGTATAGAAAACGCACGCGCGAGTACATGTGATGATGACTGAGCGAGCGAATGAAGAAGGGAAATTCAGTTTTTTTTTCATTAGCCTACGATAGTTGGAAGCAAGAGGAGATAAGAAAAAAATTTTTTAGAGAAAATAGATGAAAAAAAATTAAAAAAAATAAAATTTCGAATAATAAGAAGAGACGACATTCTCGTGGAATAGTGTGAATGATGTTAACTGGTATACAAGTTCCTCTGACAGTAAAAAACACGGGGAGAGTGATCCACGTCGGTCTGCCCGTCAAAGCACTCTGTCGCCCTCGCGCATGCTATCTCTCTCTCACACACACACGCACACGCACACACACACACAAACACGCACACACACACACACACACATGCACGTATAAGCGTTACGTGTCCAAAGACTTGGCTATATAGGGTTTAATAATTTGTTCGCGTGGCCGAACACGAACCGACGATGACGCTTAAATTATAGATTAGCCCGCGACGCTTACGTCGCTTGCGCGTCATACGTGCGAATGGTTTTAGTTGTAATTGGCCCCTCTACCTCTTTCTCTCTCGCTCTCGCTCACTTTTTTTCCCCTTAGATTACTACCATTATTATCGTACAATTATTGTAACTCGCGCATAGGCCATGAAGCCGTTCGATACGTCTATATTATCGTTTGTTTCTTTTTTATATTTATTTTTTCCCCAATGCTCTCATTGTTGTTATGTTGTCATCGCGGCTAAGTTTTTCTTTTTTTTGTGATGTACATAATGCAGTTGGACGAGATAATCAAAAAGAAAGAAGTTAAGGTGATGACGTTACTATAACGATGGTAGTCAGCTAAACGAGATAAGACTATTGTTATATCGTGAATAACTAAATCAAATACATAAGCAACATTTTTTTAAATAATATACTTTTGTTTTTGTTTGTTATTTATTTTCTCTGATTTCATAATCCAATATGATTTTCCTTTATTTTTTCTCACCTGTCCCGCAAGATTCGTCAAGTCGCGTTACCAGTTTGCCGAGGCTTTGATGAAATTGAGCAAATTTTTATCGCGCACGTGTCAAATTTGATAAGAGATCGAAAATTCGAGTCTTATCAAACAAAATGTCTTCTGCAGACTCGCGAGCGGCTCGTTGTTTTTTATCGCCAAATAAAATATGAATGAAGCGAAGGAAGTCAAACACTCGAAGGCTGATTATCAGTCATTTATATACGTAACTCTTTCTCAATTATCTTTCTTATCGTACCTTAGCAACACGAAGTTTCAAGCTGGCGATCCATAAAACATTCTGGAAAGTTAACTCCTCGCTCAATTTTTAGAATATTTTTTCGATAAAAAAAAACAACTGTTCAAAGCGTTTTCCTTTCCTGAATTGTTTTTCTCAAAAGCGTTTCTCGGAGTATTAAAAAAAAATTCTCGACGTGCAAGCGCGCATTCGACCGCCGCGGCAAATACGTCTGGAAGAGAGAGAAAGAGCGAGAGAAACGAAAAAACAAAGGGCAAGTGAAGGAAGCGTCACACGCGGCGAGTTGTCTCTCGCTCCCGCGTAAGGGCAAAAGAGCCGACTTTCGCAACGTTGCGTCGTTCGGCACTGCGGGTCGCTGATTTATATGCTGCGTGCCATGCAAATTCCAAAGCCGAGGTCGCTGGAGTCCATCCTCATTGTTCGACGATTGCACAATGGGGTCCCCGCGCTAGCGGAGGTCCCCGAAATTGCTCTCGTTTTTCCGGAGGACGCTCGCGCCTTCGCCGAAAGAACCGAGCGCCTTTCGTATAGCTCGAAATAAAGAGAAAAAGAGCTGCACACCCCTTCTGTCGACTGTAATTGCACGTTTCTTGCCGCCAGGAAAATATATATCTCTCGTGTCTTCTTTTCATGCGATAGATTGTAGTACACGTCGATTGATCGCGCGTTGTTTATGTATGGCGGCTCGCTCCAAAGGGGGGGGGGGGGGGGATCGCGCGCACAATGCTGTTGCGTGACGCAATGGATCGCTCCTTTTCCATGCGCTTTGTTACACTTTCTAATTCCTAAGCGTCCTCGTGCTTTTTCTCTCCCTCTCCCTCTCTCTCTCTCTCTCTCGCTTTCTCTGCTTTCTCCCGTTACTCTTGTTTTTCCGTATATATATATAGATATACATTTTTTGCACCGTTTAACAATCGACATTTAGGGTCGTTCTTTCGATAAATAAAGTTTTGATCGAAAGTAAGTTGGTAGGCAATAACGATGAACATCTAGCTTTCAACTGAACCTTCGATTTGAAATGCACAGCGGATATTTCTGCAAATAAAATCAATTGCGAAAAATCGCGCAGCAACAAGATCAAATCAGCTCATATCCTTGCAAACCGATGCGTTTCCGAGGCTTTCATTCGCGTGTACTCATATCGGCAGATTTTTCATTCGTGCGTTTGGTAATAGAAATCCACGGGCTGTGCTGGCGTCACGACACAAACCAAGCCTCTCGAAGGCGCCCACTGCCCAAAATCAGCTCGCACACGACGAAGCAAAGAGAGAAAAAAACACGAGAGTACAACAACCCCCTGTGCAACTTTCTCGCTTCCTCCCTCTCGGGAGAGATTTTCCTGGGCGATCACGCTTCGTCGGTTCCGATCAAGATCTTTCGGCTCCTTACAAGCTCGGTCGCACATGCGCCGCGCGATCGCGAAAAACACACGTGCGTGCACTCGGCGCGCCTCCTCTATTCCCCTGTTTATTCAACGCACGGCTATTGATCCTCGACACGGTCAAAATCATTGTTGGGCCATCCGACAGGCTCTTTTTTTTCTCTTCTCTCGAGATTGCTCGGAGCTATCTGCTCCATTAGATGCTCCTTAGCGATCCTTGTTTGTTTACCCGATAGTCGAATGAATATACCCACTCGAGGGCTTTTCCGGCTGGGAAATCACTCGCGACCACACGCACATTGTTCCTCTCTTTCTCTCTCCTCTCTATAATATATATATCGTATTTGGACTGCAGTTACAATGAGACTTATGTGACGAACGAATAATCACATTAGCGGGCTATTCTCCGCTCCTTGTACGCGCTTTTCTTTTCTAAAGCGCACTCGTTTTCCGGTGCCGAAATGCTCTGAGAAATACCGCGAATTTCTACTTTTACGCTCGTTTTATCGTCGTGAAAACAAGTGGATCTTCGATAAATAGCAAAGTATCTGGTTTTTCTTTAGTTCAATGGATAAATAGTAGGTAACGCGTTCATTCGTGCAGTGAGTTTGGGAGGAAGATAAGGCCGTAAGTCTGCGTTAAAGAGAAATCGACAGTCATTTTCAGGAGCGTCAAAAACCAAAGCTCACAGTTATGACCAAACTTCATTATTTTACTGGCAGTATAAATTGATAAAACAAACCTAAAGTTGCGTGTGAAGGTGTCATATAGCCCAAGGAAAAGAGAGAAAGAAAAAAAACGATAGCTAGCCCGAGAGGCACGACAGAGATTTGGAGCGCAGACACTCGTCGGAGGCTCTCGCCCCGGCTGAAAAGGCAAGCCCACTCTCCGACCAACCCGCTCACGTTAGACAAAAAAAAAATAATAAAAAAATGAAGTAAATACAAGTAAAGAGTTGTAGATAAGGGGGAGGCCGATGCTCCCTCCCATGATGCGTGCGAGGAGGGCGCGAGAACGACGTATCTTTCGGCGACGCCAAGGTTAACTCGGGTCACGCTGCCCGGAGGGCCTTGGCAGCCGTCGGTCTCACGCGTACGTGCAATAAGTAATCGTGTGATCCGCGTGTTCGCAGTTGGGGCTTTGGGATCGCGGGACAAGGCGAAGCGAACGACGATCACTGCCAATCGGTTTTCAGTTCCTTGTCGCGACGACACTGGCCGCAGTGGCCTCGCGCACGGCCGGCCGTCGCCTGCATCAGCAGCTCGGTCGGACGACGAAGACAGCGGGGGACCGAGGCGGCCGCCGTTGTCCCATGGCAAATTGCAATCTCGCGAAATGCAAACGCCAATCGCATCCGCGATCGGCTGGATGAGGCATGCGCGCACGGCAAATGCGGAGGATAGCATTAATGAACGAACGAGCTGCCGAGGAATATTCGTATTTTTCTCGTGGCACGGACACTTGTAATATAGGATGGGCAAACAATCGATATTATGACTATCATCGTAATTTATAATGTGCTTATTAAAATTGAAGCGAGTCGAGGGGAGCTCCCGTCGAATCAAAACTAAACGCCAAAGTTTCTAAAATTAATCGATTTTTAAGAGAAAGCAACAATGTAATTAAGTGGTAATTTGAAAATGTAGCTGTTTTTAGGCTTAGGAGAAGGGAATCTTTGTACAGCGCCAGTTCCGAAAACAATTCACAGTGATATATATAACTATGTAAAGCATTGCGTGAAAGTGCGCTCGATCGCGACTCGTCGTGTTCCAGCGCATTGCGAACAAGACGGTACAAATTCAGACCTTACGTACTTACACATATTGTAATAATTATATAAAGCCTAAATATTTTATAATAACAATAGATTATAGCACGGATTTCAAGAAAAAGTTTATACTAATACTAGCCAGGTGATAACGTTCTCTCGCTACTAACTCAAGCAACCTCGCGTAAGAAAATCACTTTTTCCTTCGTCTGCAGTTTTCTTGCTATATACATTTATATGTACCAGCGGCGTATTATGGACAACTGCAACGTAATATTTTCTACTGTATACTCGCTAAATGAAATGACTATTTTATCAATGCGCCAGAATTATTTCAACAAAGATGAGCTATAAAGAAAATGAAACTATGAATAATCGATCGTTTTCCGTTTACAATTGTGCTAAACGCGCCCTTACTACTCAAATTATACTGACAATATTGAATGAAAAAATAAATAAATAAATAAATAAATAAATGAAAAATATTATATTATATATTGTTGACACGAGTTTTCCGGCGGCTAGACAAAAAAAAAGATGTATACTATGAAACTGACACTACCTCACCGACCACACTGATGGCTATATCTCAAATCACAAGACTGATATTGCATATATAATATTCCTACGAGTTAGAGCTGCGGCAAGCGAAGCGAACATAAATACCAATTTTGTAACGGACTATGCAGGTTTTATCCCGAAATAACACGCGATTATAAAACGAGTGTATCAGTAATTTTCGAAGATGCGAAAGAGATATTTTGCGCTGCCGCACGACCCGACAATGATGAGCATCAATCAAGCGATATCGTGCACCAAAAGATCGCGTATACAAGAGAAAAGTTGATAAGATTTCGCGATTTTTTTTTCTCAGTAGTGTATCATGAGTGAAGCTATCGAAACAAAAGTGACGCTGTAACATATTAATGGCAAGCATTTAAGGGACTTTATCGCAATGTGTCAAGTGTTTAATCAAAGCGAACGAATGGGCGCCACGACATGGTTATTGTGAAACTATTTTTATTATTAAAGTAACTGTTTAATCGTTTGCATTTGCCTTGTTCATTCTTCACATTCTAAATCCTACCTGGCGATCATCGCCTCATTGGCATAATTTACGTCGATGTATTCGATGGAAATGGAGGCCTCGCAGCTTTCATGTCAAGATGTTGTAACAATAAAAGTAGATCAATGGGGGATCGAGCGGCTATGACCAAAGCTCGTATTCTTCGGAAATGTCATTCGAACGTTGCGGCCACTGCATCCTCAATTTCGCGTTGCTCGTAATGGAAAAACAGAAAAAAAAAAGACATCCAAAAACTGCATCATCACCGCGCTCGAGTGCTAGTTCTCGAACATCATGAACGTGCATTGAAGTGCGCTTTCAAAATCACAGAATCAAACACACGAGGAGAGAGCCATTCCATTAAAATTCGATTTAAAAGCATCGGTCGACAAAGGTGAGTGCGCGCGCGCGCGCGCGCGCAAGGGGGGCGCGTGCCCCTGGATTTTTTCTTTTTTCGGAAACTGGTCGCTCTCGCACAGCTGAGT